TAGATTTTGTTGCACTTTCTTGTTGTTGGTTTTCTCTTCTTGTTCAACATATGTAGAGCGATGGAGGGTGCTCCATCATCAATTTTATGAGGACGGCGCTATCGCCTTTATTCTGTGTTTTGAACCTGTCCAACGCTTTCTTTCACTCCCTTGTATAGTCATCTCGGCGTGTTACGATTTCATTTTCTCTCCAGCTCATTGTCTGGTTGGGTGTATTCTGCATGTCTTTGGTGATAGTCCCAACACAGTCACATCGACGAGTTTAATTACAAACAATTATGATCATTGTTTTGTAAAATGCATGCCTTGTTTTTCCCTTGACCGCAGATCCGCAACGCACTCGACCACGTCATGAAAATATCCATGAATGAAAACAAAGAACCCATCAATCGGTCGATCAATCGATTAATCGATCAATCGATCAATCAATCGCTCAATGAATCAGTCAATTGATCACCTGGAGCAATCAATCAATCATTCAATAAATCTATCAATCAATCAATCAATCAATCACAATCAATCAATCACAATCAATCAAATCATCGATCAATCAATCAATCAATCAATCAATCAATCGATCAATCATTCAATCAATCAATCGGTCAATCGCTCTATCAAACAATCAATCAATCAATCAATACGCAAACTGCAATAGCAAATTCAAACGATTGGCCTCGGTTGTGGTCGTGTGTACAAATACAAAACATATATGTTGTGAGCGAAAGTTGCACCGAATATCACACAGGACATTCACAATTTGTCCATGACAACCTTCAAAACACATGCAAAATAACTGGACGACGGACTCTCGAGGATCATACATAGATCACAAGCACAGATATGGGTGAGAGGAACATGAAAAGACAAAGATGCAATCACACACGTGGATGTTGTTTTTATTCATAAACAAAAGGTGCCATTCTAGAAATGGCTTCCATTATACACCACATGCAGCACATAAACAGCTAGGTCTACCGACAACACCGACAACCAGAGACACCAGCACAACGCCCATCCACAAACAAAGCCCTGCCGAATTGGACGTAGCAACCCCTCCGCCCCCCCGCATTTCGTTCCCCCATCCTCACCTTCCGTCCATCCC